CACACGCACACACACGCATTGACAACTCGTTAAGTGATTGGAAGGTCGTTTAGCGAAACACATGTTCTGTTTTTGGCTTCCTCGTTACGTGAAATGCTCGTAGATTTGGCTACTCGTAGCCTGAGGCTCCACTGTACTGGTAAATAACCCTTTACCTACACCATACTTCGTTTGGATAGAATACTCGCATGGAATGACAAGGGTCTATCAGAACGTGGAATATACTGATTTGCACATAGCTGCGAAGTTGACACCTCGACTACCTCAGAGGCCATACTCCTACTATCACGGAGTCGATAATATATTTTTAATTTATTTATTATAAGTTGACATGTGGACAGACTTAAACTAAGAGCCACTAGTTCAGGTGGAACACACCCAGAAATAAGTCTGTTCTTTCTGATAATGGTTTACTCTGACATACCTCCATTTCTTCCGCCTGTTTCGAACGGGAAGAAAACGTGTGGGTTAAATACAAGTTAAGTAAGGAAAACAAATTCATTTAGAGTAAAAAAAATAGGTAGAGTATCTTCTTACCATCTGACGAGACCACTGAGTTTCAGACAAAAAAAAGAGAGTAAAAATTTGGAATCCCCATGCCTAGAGCCTTTCCAGTAAGAAATGGAAACTATTTTTAAAAAAGAAGAATAACACCAGTTTCATCAAGTTCACAAAGGGGTACTTACCGCTTTCGCATCCTAAATAGAGGAGAGCGAGAGAAAAAAATAATAAATTAAAATCTACAGGCCTCCCGGAAACCGGAAGATATAGGACTAGTTTGGTGATAATCACTGGAATTATCCTTACATGTGACATATTTTGGCGGTAAAAGAGGAACGGTTAGCCAAAAGAAACGGTCGATTTTGGCGTGATGTCATGGTAGAATTTTAAAATTGTGCACAGCTCCCGACTGAGTGGAGCACGAAATCCGGCTCTGATGCGACAGCATTTACTTAAAGTCAATAGAGTTAGCATACGGAAAAATCTACTTTTACGTCTCAGGTGTTTTTTTTAACTCTCGTGAACGACGCGACCTAGAAAGCCTAGGAAGGCCGATCTTTAATAATCCAAGCACTGGCATGGGCAAAACGCCATTAAACGTAAATAGTGCACACACGAGAGACTTACAGTAAGCTGTGTGAGGAAGGTGATAAACATTCCGGGCACCAAATTGACGGAGATGCTATTCAACAGGGTGGAGCTTATCTTGCAATCGGCAACGTGCCTCTTGTCGGTGACAGCCGCACCGAAGCCCTCCTTGAGACAGAGCTGAAGAATGTCCACGTTTTCTTTGAAGTCACACAGGCAAAGATGCTTCTGTATCACGTCACACATAAAGGACATCCAGATATTACAGTCCAGCGGATCCATCAGATCGGGCCAGTCTTT